CCCTGCTGCAACCAAGGAAGTAACAGGGAGAGGTGGCTTACAATTCGAGGTTTGGCTACAGAGGGTGGTGGTGGTAGGGGGGTAGTGCTCTGCTCATAACCCCCAGGATTCTCACTTTTACCTCATTTGGGGTAATTTACCCCTGTTCTCCGACCACTGGAGTACAACAATGTTGTTGGTCAGGAGTTGAGAATATCCCTCCTAGCGGTGCAGGTTCATGTTTTTCTCTGTAATCAAACAGACAACAAATTGAGCAAGAGGCTTTGATTCGGATTTTATAATTTATGAGGATGAAAATTACTTTTCATAATTCCAGGAACTGAAATTATGTGGATAATTATGTCTATAATCTAAGAACTGGATTTCCTGGAATTCTAGGAAGTAGAATTATGGGCATAAGGTGACTCTCCTTACTCACATATTTGTATTTTAAACATAATTTGAATTGCTGCACTGCTTGTGCGCATGAGATAGTCACTTGGCATGTTAAGAAAATAAGTAAATGCAGAGATAACAGTGTCTCTTCTAAGGCAAATGTACTGTACACTGTTCTGTGCTCATGAATCTGACACTGTGCCCTGCTGGACACTCCAGACACTAAAGTTAAGTAGGCTTAGGCCTCACCTGTTCTTGAAAAAACACCACCAATGAATGCTGGGTGCTGTACTGGTGAGGGACAATAGTTCTATAGTGGATCACCTTCATTGCATGCAGAAGGTCACTGGTTCAGTTTCCAGCTTCTCCAGGTAGGCCAGAAAAGAATCCTGCCTGAAACCCTGAATGGCCAGGGCCAGTCAGAGTTGACAATGTTAGCCTGGATTAGTGGTTCCTAGCCTTGGGTCATCAGATGTCCTTTGGACTAGAACTCCCAGACACCTTCACCACTAGCTGTGCTGGCCAGGATTTCTGGGTGTTGTAGTCCAAGAACATCTGGGGACCCAATGTTGGGAAGCACTGGGCTAGATGAACCAATGGTCTAACTCAGCATACAGCAGCTTCCTCTGTTTCTTTTCCCATGTCTGGGATAAGGTGCTGTATACAGGTGTATAATAGGGAAATCCCTACATCTTCTTGTAGCATTTATCTTTCAAAGAAGGAGAGTTAGAACCTCCTGCCTCAGGCTCATGCTCGGAGAATATGGACTGTGGCATGAGCCTCCACTCCACTATCCAGAGATTTCAGAGCTTGTAACAAATGGAAAAGAAGAAGAAAAAGCCATGTTTTCCTTGTACATAATATGAAGACAGTATGGAGGATACTTTTATTAAACTGATGATCATATCTGAGTAGATGATGCAATCCTTATTTTAGAGTTTACTTTGAACAAGGGAAATTGGCCTGTGCATTTGGCCATAGATTTTTGAACATTTGTGCATTTTCTGCACCACTCTCAGCTCTGTGCAGAGTTGAAAACTGGCTTCTGTGTCTGAGATTTTAGTGCTTTAATCAAGCTATCACCCATCCTTGTCTTTAGATTGTGTAACAAAGGGATGAGACTTTCAAAGTGAATACTGAACCTCTTGGAGGTTCTGAACTTCCCTTGCACCTCCAGACTCCCCTGCATGGACTTACTGGGCTGAGCAGGTGGGGTATATGTGTTGGCATTAGTTCAATCCTTAATTTCAGTTTATTTAATCAGCATCAAACTCACAGTGTCTATGTTGAACATGGCTGTATATTGGCAGGGTACCACATAGAATCTGGTCAGTAACTAGTAAGTCAGTTAAAATACTGTGCTGGTGTTTGGAATGTGATGCTGTGTAGATAAAAAGATGGTTCTTCTTTGATCTTTTTATTATTTATTGTGATAGTATTTTTCTTTTTAAAATATTTTTGGAAAGGACTTTGATCTTTTTGAAAAAAAATAAGTATAATAAAAAGGAGCAGGAAAAGGTACCAAAGCAAGGAGGAACACATAGAATTTTTTTAAAAAAATACAAAAATCATGCAGCCATAAGGTATGCGAAGATGCAAAATAGGATAGTATGTCTTCTCTTAAAGGGTACATAATGAAATAATATCCTTATATATCCCCATGTGTGCAGTTGGCACTTACAATCAAAAATAGTGTACTGTATGGTGTGCAGGTTCACACAAAAATATTTTTCCAGACTGTCCCACTCTTATAATTCACTGTGAGAAGATACAGTTATGCCTACCAACTAGGGTGGCTTTAAGAAAGTACCGAATAAATTCATGGCTGGGTTCCTGGAGGTACTACACAGTGTAAGATATACTCTAAATCTCTTTTCAGTAATAATCAAGAAGAACAGTGTGTTTCCAGTATCCTGCTACTTTCTCAGATTAGATAATGGGCAATCAGTGCACAGTACTGTACAGTGTATGTGCTGTGGATTGGAACTAGTTATTTTATGAACAGAAAGTCTTCCCCCACCCCAAATTACAGACTTAAACTCTGGTGGAGACTCCCTGCTAGAAGAAGAGAGAGATAATTTTCATCAGTTCCTCCTGTCAATCTGAAGTCATCAGTGTTGTTCAATCCGTAGACAAGATTTTTGGTGGGACATAAGAGAGAAGAAATTATCCAAAATTGCCCACCCACTCTTTTTTTTTATGTCACTGAATCTCTGCCAGTCATAAGTCTGGACCAATCCAAGTTGGGAACCTTTTTTTAAAGAGAGTTCTACTTATATTCCATGTTTCAGTTATAACCAGAGAATGCAGATAATTTCTCAAAAGAAAGTCCTAATCCTTCTAGTCAAGAATGAAATGACAGTCCATCTCCATGGCCTCTTTCCTTGTTCTTATCTTGATACTTGCATCCTAAAGTGCTAGTAATCACCAGTCCAAGCTCCTGTACACTTGACAAGGAAGAAACAGAGTTTGGAAAAGTTATTTCTTTGAAGGAAAGCTTCTAGAAAGCAGCATGATTAATTCTGGCTGGGGAATTCAGCAAGTTGTATATCAAAAGGGTAACGTTTCCAAGCTCTGTTCTCAAGAAATGTTCATATAACTGAGTGTGGCATTTACCCCGTGGCCCCTGCTTGTTTCACCAAATACAGAGCTCACATGAGTATCCCAACATGCCCTTTAACACGCTGCCACCAGTTGATCTCTTTATCAACCTATATGAGGTCCATTCAGTATTTAACTTTTAAACAGAAACAGGTTTATTGATTACAAGTTGTTTTAGGAATAGTTCTTAAGCACATTCTTAAAGTTACACAAAGCTTCAGTATTTTACTTTAACCTCTTCTGTCTTAATTAATACAGGTCACACTCTGGTGTGTTTGCGTGCATGCATGTTCTGCCTCAAACTCCAAACTCTGTCTTCTCTATCTCTGACTGAACTAACTCCTCCAGCACATATCAATCTCTCTCTCTCTCTCTCTTTTACCCCTTCTCGTTTCTCTGGCTTCACCTCCCAACTGCTTCCATTGGTGCAGGCCAATACCATCATATATACTGTATAGGAAGACAGGGTGTTCGCTACACTGAGATATAGCATAATACCATGTTTCAGTGGGGTATTTTGTGAAAACCTAGTATCCTTTTAAAATGTTTAGAGTTTTGGAAAAATTGTACATAATTTCACCATTGTAACTCTTGGAAAGCTTATACACGTGCAAATTAATGATAGCTTCTGTACTTGCTTATCTTCTGTGGCCATTCAGTTTATCAGCAAAAATAGCTTCCTGTAGCTTATGAGTATCAGCATTCCTGTTTGCTCCTGTTCCTTTTTTTTCTCCTGGAGCTAGTTAGCTGGTATGTTGACTTATTCAAATGCCCAGAAAATGAGGAATTTTGGGACTTTGGCATATTTGAAAGCATATATCTACTAGGAAAGCATATTATTCTATCTCTTAACAAAGCCATGGGGCTTCAATAAAGAAATGTTATTCTGCATGGACACCTAGATAGTGACTATGTCAAAGAAAACTGGGAGAAAACAATTCCATTAAATCATAAATTCATTGAAATGGGGATAAAATACAGTAACAGTGTCAAAAGTTGTTAACATTCTATATTAAATTGAATTCATAAGAGGTCTGAGTACAGGTATAATTCCTTTCTTATTGATCTTTGTGTGTTTGGTTGTTTCACTTTATTTCTTTATTTTCTGACTTGTTTCTGAATGTAACGAGTTTGGAAGATATTTATAATAAGTGGTTAGTTGATGTTATAGTTCAGTTCCGGTTAGAGTTACCAAAATTTAGAAGTACTGTAGTTTACTTTCTGATTTGTCAACAATGAACAAAACATAGTAGTTTAGATGTTTTCTTTAAAAATCTGAATTCTGCAAGCTTCTAGGTTTTTGTGCAAGACACTCTTCTGTTTACCTTGTCATTGCCTCAAAATTCACAACAGAGCATGAGGCGGCAATACAAGCCAGCACTTGCTTTTGTTTTATTTTGCTTTGCTTTGTTTTATTTTGTGTTTCTTGCTTATACACTTGGACCATATTGCATTCTCCTTATCCATTTAGTGAGGCTGTCTAACAAATATAAAAATAACTAAAATATGATGGTTAAATTGCAAAAAAAAACGTAAAATTATCTCTTCTCAGGTTATAGTTACTTATGTAACTTATGTAAAGCTTTGTTATTGGAAGAAGGAATTAACTATAAGTAACTAGTTATTTATAATAGGTTACTTGTAACTTTCCTGAACAGTTGGTGGTATTGTATTTGGTTTCCTAGATCTGGTTATTACTTTCTGGCTACTACTAAGAAAAGCATGATGCTCTCCTTGTGTGGTGCTTCTTTGTTTTTCCACTGAAGACTGACAAAAGCCATTTCTTTAACTTGTGATAGACTGAGTAATTTCCTTGTGAGAAACTGAGAACCCTTCCCTTCGCCACCACACTGTAGCACAGTTTCCAGGGTTCCTGGAATAATTAAACCAATAAGTCCATGGTGCAGAGCAGCCTTTGATGTCATGCCAAGACCATTATGAAAATGTGTCTGAATTCTTTTAGTAAAATAAAATTAGGACATTAAACAAGTGCCTTCTAAACATAATGCTTTCTCTTTTCCCAGGCTGTCTACATGTTCTACGCTTTGGCCATTGTCTGTGATGATTTCTTTGTTCCTTCTTTGGAAAAGATTTGTGAAGTAAGTATCTGCTACTTTCTCCCACAGGGAAAAATGGTTCAGGGAAGGGTCGTGTTGCACCCACATCTCCTTGCACACGCTGTCCTTGAAACCTCTAGTTCCCAAGGATTATATATTCCATTTTGTTTCTAATAGGATGCTTTTTCTTCTCTTCACAGCGCTTGCACCTCAGTGAAGATGTGGCAGGGGCAACATTCATGGCAGCTGGCAGCTCTGCTCCTGAACTGTTTACATCCGTCATAGGTAACTAAATCACCAGCTTCTTTCTGTCATTTGTGAAAGTAAGCATAGCTATTTATAGTTTTGTTCCCATCCCTCAAAAGAGAGAGAGAGAGAGAGTGTGTGTGTGTGTTTGCGTGCATGCATGCATGCAGTAAAACTACCCAATATTGATGGAATAGCAAATCCGTGTTGTCATTAAAAAAAAACTGCAGAGTAATGTGGTGTGTGTCATTGTTTTTCTGTGCCAGAGGCATTGGGAAAGTGCCACACAATGTCAACCATATCCGTATCCTGTAAGATACATACTTTTTTCCCCCCACAAGATGATAGTTCTGAGAGAAAGATATGCATGAGTATTGCTGAGAAATGTCCATCCTGTCTTTTCTTAATTATCCCAAAGCACAGTGCTTTCAAGTGGTATTCCTGTTGTCAGATGCCATTCACAAATGCTTGTGAACAAGGGCTTGATTTTCAGCTGGAGATATCTCTTTGGTGTCTTGAGATTTGTACTTGGTGAAACCTGTCGCACAAATAGTGAAAATGGGATGGCTTGTAGCTCATTCACAGAGTACTTCACTGCATACCTACAGATGCTGACATTTCCAGAAAAATAAAATCTTAAGAGAACAAGGCTGAGAAGGATCTTAGCCTGAGTGAGAGGTTGGAGAGTCACTGCCACCCTTAGTAGATACTATTGAATTTATATGGATAAATGCTGAGATGATATTAAGTCACAGTGAAGTTCTCTTGCTCCATTTGAGGTTAAGTGAGATCAAATTAAGTGTGAGGGAAAGTGTGGAGCAGGACACTTTTCAGTGGGACATCCCTGAATGATTAGCGCTACAGCACATCTCTTGGATGAAAGGGAAAGATGCTTTTGCAAAAGGTGTTTGTCTTTTCTTCAGGAAGAAAAATAGACGGCACCAAAGAAACACATTATGCAGCTTCCTCCATTTCAGAGTGTCTTTCCAGGAAGGATCAGAATCTCAGCTGGCATGGCCAGCTCACCTACTTTATTTTTTTAACTTTTAGTGTGATTGGTGTGTGGGTTATGAAGGGAAACCTGCAGTTACCCCCTAAATTTGAGAATGCCTCTAACAACTTGCTGCATTCAGACAGAGCTTGAAATAAATAAATAAATAAACAGAGAGAGAGAGAGAGAGAGAGAGAGAGTTCGAATGGGATATATAGAGACCTGAGGTAATACAATGGACATTTAACACTCCAGATGAGGAGGGGGGTCATATTTCTGTTGCTCTCTAGAGCAGTAGTCCCTCCAGATGTTCTTGGACTAGTTCCCAGAAGCCTTTACCACCACCTCTGCTAGCCAGGATTTCTGGGAGCTGGAGTCCAAAAACATCTGGAGGCTCAAGGTTGAGGACCATTGTTCCAGATAACAAATAAAACTCCATGCAAGTGGTAATTCGCACAGCTTGGAGTTGGCACAATTTCATGCTAATGCCCTTTTTAAATTGCTTTTTCTTACTATTTTAATAGTAGGGCATTCAAACAGCACTAGCCCCTCCCTCTACAGTCTGAAGGGACTCAATCTATTCTATCACCTTATTCAGATGTGTGGAGAATGGCCATATGTCTTTTGCCAGCAGATGATGAGAAGGCTTTGCATTTATTTCTTTTTCTTGTATATTTCTGTTAGGCTTCTTATGATAATGAATTCAGCTGCTCTCTTTCAGTTGGTTGATCATGTAGAAATTGCCTCTGGGTTCGTTTTTTTTTTTATCACACATTTTCCCCTGCTTCAATCTGTTTTAAAAAGGATGCTGTGACTTTCCACCCCTCTAATCCTAATTGTGCCTCTACTGCTTTATTCAAGTGTACACATAGTTCTGCCCGATGGAAGAGGGATGGGGAATCCTGTCTTCTTCTCATTCAGACTGACATAGAATACTTTGAAACTGTTTTTCCCCAGGTGTGTTTATCACAAAAGGAGATGTTGGTGTGGGAACCATTGTCGGCTCTGCTGTATTCAACATTCTCTGTATAATTGGGGTTTGTGGCCTCTTTGCGGGACAGGTAAGAGCATACATTGAATATGTAAATACTTCTAAAACTTTTTTCCCTTTATTAAGCTAGAACTTCAACAGAAGGCACCATGTGCATTCATGCTACTGCATGTTTAAGGATAGATATAACCTGGCAAGTTAAAAAACCTGGAAATTTCCTAGTCAAATCTTGTGTCTGCTGTCACTGTCACCATCTGTATAGGACTTTGCACAACTTTAGCATCTTGGCAAAACTAAAGGGAGAAAAATAATAGAACAGAGCAAAAAGAGCAAAATGCTTTGGCAGTTTAATGGCTTACCCATTTTCTTTCTGTATGGGCTTTCATAGATCAAAATCTACTTCAGACACATCTGTACAACCTTACTAGTTCTTACCACAACCTTATAGGACATATCAGTGGTTTTTTTCCTTACACTGCAGTAGAATTGCTTCTATATGAGCGTCTTTTAAAATTGCATAGGTGCTTCATCTTTCTAATCACTTGCAAGCAAGTGGAAATATAACAGAGGTTCCACACAAAACTTCATATAGGGATGTAATACCCAACAATACTCTTCCACATGGCCTAAATCCTTTTACCATTTGTACAAGGAAGTCAGTCCTATTCAGCAAAGGTCACTTCCACTGGTAATAAAAGTTTTTCTTTTTGCAGATTCTGCTCTTTTATTGTTTCCCCTCAAGGTAGCAGCATTACAGATAAAGAGTGTGTTAATTGACCTCTTAACGGCCTCTTTTAATTGCTTCCTATTGTCAGTTTACTGCTGGTTTCCTTCTCTACATTGTAGTTTTTCTCCATTGCTCTACAATGTAGAGAAAGAGCATCATGAGAGGAAATCTTTAATGAAACAGCAGCTCCACACCTTGTGATAAGGGACATGTAAGGAACTAATCCATTGCTAATTCTGCCCTCTTGTACAAAGGGAAAAAAGCATTATGGGCCTGCAATCATAAAACTTTTGTTTAAAGTCAAAGGAGCAACGAATAGCTTCTGTAGTGATTTATAAGTCATAATGGATGGACTGGAGCTACAGATGCATTTGACACTGGAAGAATTGCAGCAAATCAAGTAAACAGCTTGGAACATTGTTTTTAAGAAGTAACATATTAGTATTAGATAAGGTTTTTTTTAAAAAAAGAGTTCTTGTTGCATTGAGCAATTTTCTTTTATTTTCATTGTTTATTTTATTTTATTTTTTAAAATATATTTTGAAAATAAGAAAAATCATCCCCCCCCCAAAAAAAGCCCAAATGTCTTCCTCTTGGATGCACTCCATAACATAGTGAGGGGATTTGAGAGTGTCAAGGAAGCTGGGAGCAAAGCCATCAGGAGGCTAGACTCCTAGCATGAAATGGTTGAAGCTGAGGCACCAGATTAGGTGTGTGTCCACACTCTTCAGAAATGGTGATCACATCAGCAGAAGAGAATTGATAATTCCAATGATGATGGGGGCAGAGAAACTCCTGAAACATGGCCGTGGTGCAGTGGCACTAGTGGAAGATGCCATTAGCACAGGCGCTTTTACAGAGAACAGCAGCAACCACTTCTGAATAATTTTTATGTAGAAAACCTTGTGATGAAACAATAAAAAAATGGAACATGAGATAGTGCTGGAAGGTAAGACTCCCAGGCTAGAAGATACTCAATCAGCTACTGGCAAAGATAAAAGACTTGTTATAAATAACACTGTTGCTAATGAAACAACTTGATTAAAGTGGAAAGGACTTCTAGTGGCTGATGTGCACAGAAGTAAAAAAGAAAGTCTAATATTTTGCAACATATACATCTGGAACATATAATGTGAGGTGTATAAATTGAGGTAAACTTGAAACCATAAAGCAAGAAAGAAAATATTGCAGAACTTGGTGTGAGTGAATGAAAACTTCCAATCATGATCAAATCAGTCATACAAAAATTAAAGACATTTAATTATGATAATAACCATAGAAGAGATGTAGGCTTCAAATAGACCAAAAGTAAAATTGTTGGCTATAAAAAGAACGTTTTGACCCAAACAACGGTGTCTGTGTGGGTCATATCTCTTGTGGGAGAGTATTCCATGTTTCAAGTGCCACCACAGAAAGGCACTTTTCCTCTAATGATCACAGTCCCCTAATTGGGTACATAAAGAAGAGCCTTCCCTAAAAGTCCAAAGGGACAGGCATGTTGGTATAGGGAACAGTGCACCTTCATTTGGGGTGGGTGAGATTCAAGGTGATTTGGGCTTTAGAGGTAAGTCTCAAAGGTGAATACATGACTAATAGACACATTTTGTACTACCTAAAATTTCTGAAGTATCATGTAAAAACACATTGCAGTAATCCAGCTAGGAGCTTACCAGAGAATGCATCATGATACTGTGTTAATGCCTGTTTCAGTGCTACCAGTGCTGTTTTTCACCAGTGATATGAATGCATTGTCGCCAAAGTCGTATTGACCATTACTAAAAAATCCTCCAAGGTAGGCTTCAGCAATATGTGGACCGAGAACTCCCAGAAGTACAAGGTGGATTTCGAAGGGACAGAGGAACTAGAGACCAAATTGCTAACATGCACTGGACGATGGAGGAAGACAGAGAGTTCCAGAAAAACATCTACTTCTGCTTCATTGACTACGCAAAAGCCTTTGACGGTGTGGACCACAGCAAACTATGGCCAGTTCTTAAAGAAATGGGAGTGCCTGACCACCTTGTCTATCTCCTGAGAAACCTATATTTGGGTCAGGAAGCCGCAGTTAGAACTGGATATGGAACAACTGACTGGTTCAAAATTGGGAAAGGAGTACAACAAGGCTGTATTTTGTCTCCCTGCTTATTTAACTTATATGCAGAATACATCATGCGAAAAGCTGGACTGGAGGAATCCCAAGCCGGAATTAAGACTAATGGAAGAAATGTCAACAACCTCTGATATGCAGATGATACCACTCTGATGGGAAAGTGAGAAGAAATTAAAGAACCTCACAATGAGGGTGAAAGAGAGTGCAAAAAATGGTCCGAAGCTCAACATCAAAAAACAAAGATCATGGCCACTGGTCCCATCACCTCCTGGCAAACAGAAGGGGAAGATATGGAGGTAGTGACAGTTTTTACTTTCTTGGGCTCCATGATCACTGCAGATGGTGACAGCAGCCCTGAAATTAAAAGACGCCTGCTTCTTGGGAGAAAAGCGATGACAAACCTCAACAGCATCTTAAAAAGCAGAGACATCAGCTTGCCAACAAAAGTCTGCATAGTCAAAGCTATGGTTTTTCCTGTACCAATGTATGGAAGTGAGAGCTGCTCCATAAAGAAAGGTGACTGCCGAAGAATTGATGTTTTTGAATTTTGGTGCTGGAGGAGGCTCTTGAGAGTCCCCTGTACTCCAAGGAGAACAAACCTTTCCATTCTAAAGGCAATCAAACCTGAGTGCTCACTGGAAGGACAGTGTGAAGGCAAGAGGAGAAGGGGACGACAGAGGATGAGATGGTTGGACGGTGTCACTGAAGCTACCAACATGAATTTGACCCAGCTCTGGGAGGCAGTGGAAGACAGGAAGGCCTGGTGTGCTCTGGTCCATGAGGTCACGAAGAGTCGGACATGACTAAATGACTAAACAACAACAAAGCAGATGAAAGAGTGCATTTTGAAAATGAAGGGAGATGTAAAGCATACAGTTTGGGGGTATTTTGGAACACAATAGCCAAAATCCTGTTGCTCAGCATAACAAATTGCACTAGAGTTTGCCCACTGAATCAATAAGGATTTAGTGGGTCACCTCCTCCATAAGTTCTGTTGATTTAAATGGGCTTATTCTAATTCTGACCTACTTAAGCATAATATCACAGTTAGAGTAGGCCCATTTGAATCAATAGAACTAGAGAAGCTGAGTAGAGATGGGCACGAAACAGAAAAATGGCAGTTTGTGATGGTTCATGGTTTATTGCTTTTCATGAACCGTAAACTTTCACAACTTTCCAACGGAATGCACCATTTTGTGGTTCATGTGATTCAGGACTTCCAGAAACAGTAGAACAGTCCTGCATGAGTTAGAGATGCCAAATGCTGTGAGGCTTCATCTGATTTTGCTCCCCACCCCTATGAAGTTTGATGAAGATTGGATTTGTGATGTCTGAGTTATAGCCCCCCAAAGCAGGACCCCCCAGGAAAGTGCTTTTTAGCACCTGGCAGCAGTTTAAGTTCCCTCCAAGTGGCCGGGCCTTAAAATTAAGTCCTCTGCTGCCGCCACATGCTCCCTATGTGGTGAACAAGCAGGGAGGAGTATGAAGCTAGGCTAATGATCCTTACATATACAGTGGTGCCTCGCACAACGATGTTAATTGGTTCCAAAAAAATCAACGTTGTGTGAAACATCGTTCTGTGAAACACCATTTCTCATAGGAATGCACTGAAAACCGGTTAATCCGTTCCAATTGGAACGGATTGCCATCGCTGAGTGAAAATCCCCATAGGAAACATCGCTGTGTGAAACAATGTTTCCTCCATTGGAATGTATTGAAGCCGACTCAATACATTTCAATGGCTTTGTGAAGTCCCTTTTCGCTCCTGTAAAAGTGTCTTACAATGTTTGGAACCTGTTTTAAATGCTTGCAATGGTTAGCCCACCTCCTAAAACCTATGCAAACTTATTTTGGTGTTGTTCAGACACTTCCTTAATTTTTGGTGATTTTTTGTTTTTCCCCTCATTGAAATGCATGGAGTTCAATGAGGGGAAAAACAAAAAATCACCACAAATTAACGAAGTGTCAGAACAACACCAAAATACGTTTGCATAGGGTTCAGGAGGTGGGCTAACCATTGCAAGCATTTAAAACAGGTTCCAAACATGGCAAGACACTTTTACAGGAGCAAAAAAGAGGCATCATTGTGTGAAAATTCCCCATAGGAAACATCGTTGTATGAAGCGGCAAATTTAACAGAAAAAAGCATCGTTGTGTGCATTCATCGTTGTGTGAGGCACCCGTTGTGCGAGGCACCACTGTAGTGAGCCAGATGTAATTTATCAGAAATATT